AGACTGCAAGGGGAAGACCATTGCTCTCCAAAATGAACGTTGCCGCCCATCTGAAGTCCACTAAAGAGCACATACTGTAGATGATCCACAAGCCTTCTGGAACAATGTCCTCTAGCCAGATGAGTTAAAGGTAGAACTGTTTGGCCTCAATGAGCATTGTAATGTTTGGCAAAAGCCAAACTCGGCTTTTGAACAGAAGAACCTGATTCCAATAGTCAAGCATGATGGTGGGAGTGTGATGGCTTGGAGCTGCTTTGCTACTTCAGGACCTGGAAGTCTTGTCATCGTTGATAGAACCATTAATTCTGCATTGTATCAGAAGATTCTACAAGAGCAGAATATAAATGCATTCTGCGACACTCCAGTCAAACACTCTAGTCAAAGTCAAAGGGACCTGAAGGGACCTGAAGTGAGACGTTCACATTCAAGGCAGCTCTCAAATTGTCACAGATCTGAAAGAGTTGTGTAAGGAGGAAAGGGCCAAAACAGGTGTGACAAACAGTTACAGGAAATGTTTAGCTGAAGTCATTCCTGCTCAAGGGGGTGCCACCCGTTACTGAATCTAAACATTCACATATTTTGCCAAACACAGATATTGAATGTTACATCATTTGTTAGTATAGTAGTAAGTATCCCCGGCTGTCACACAGGAGACCGGGGTTCAATTCCCCGACGGGGAGGCAAATTTCTTAGCCAGCAGCTACATCACCCTGCAGCTCACAACTAGCAACCCACTCGCAGCTCAGCAGGTGTGAGCCTGGTCATTACCTGGATCCGAGACCTCCTTGGAAAAACTAAGGTTGCTGATGGAAGAGGTGTTAGTGGGGCCAGCAAGGGGCGTTCACCCTGCGGTCGGTGTGGGTCTTAATGCACCAGTATAGTGACGGCGACACTATACTGTAAAACAAAAAGTGCTGTCCGTCAGATGAGATGTAATCCATCGGACTCTCTGTGGTCATAAAAAATTCCAGGGTGTTTCTCGAAAACAGTAGGTATGTTAACTCGTCCGACGGCAGGCGGAGAGACGCGCCGGTTGGAGTATTCTCGGACGCATTTAATGGCAACGTCAGCTCAAAGATTTGGTTCAAACCACCAAATAGAGATAGGCGTGCCGACAAGTGGACCCTGCTGATGCGGGATTAACGCTAGGATGAGAGAGTAGGAGTGTTACCTCGGTATCCTGGCCAAATTTACCCCTGGCCTTTACCAATCATGGCCTCCTAATAATCCCCATCTATAAATTGGCTTCATCACTTTGTTCTCCTGCCCACTGATAGCTAGAGTGTGGTGAACGTTCTGGCGCACTATGGCTGCCGTCGCATCATCCAGGTGTGGCTGCACATTGGTGGTGGTGGTGGAGGGGATTCCCCATTACCTGTAAAGCACTTTGAGTAGAGTGTCCAGAAAAGCGCTATATAAGTGTAAGCAATTATTATTACGTCATGCCAAACCGCTTTATACCATACAGTGCTGTGGGAAGCCGGGGCCTACCTGGCAAGCAACAAGCGCAAGGCAGGGTACACCCTGGATGGCGCGCCAGTCCATCGCAGGGCAAGTGCAAGCCAATCATACATGGGGACAATTTGGAGGCCACAGTAAAAGCCAAGGGGGGAAATTTGGCCCAGAACACCGGGATAACTCCCTATTCTTATCAAGACATTCCCGGAGATCTTTAATGACCACTGAGAATCAGGACCTCGGTTTAACGTCACATCCCAAAGACAGCGCCCACTACAGTATGGTGTCGCCACCACTATACCAGGGCATTAGGATGGTCCTAATTATAATGATAATTATTAAATGTTGAAAGAGTATCATGTTTTGTGTTGTTTTTTTAATCAAATTAACTTTATTTATTATTAGGATTTAGATTAAGATTTACTAACATTTTACGCTTCAAATACTGTATGTGAAATATGTAAAAACTTTAGTACTTAGGGCTTCACAAACTTTTTACCAGCACTGCAACAACATTTGGAAAGAAAGAGAGAACGTATTCTACAGTACATGAAAAGTGGCAGTGAGCAATAAGGTTAAGTCAACACTTAGTAAATTCAGTATACTGAAGTACACTTAATATAGAAATTTATCAGCATTCATTTCTGTGCAATTATGGGAAGAAAAATCTAGAATGCGCGTGTAACATAACAGCTTAACCTTAGGTGACTCACACACAGTACGTACACTGAAGTATAAAAGGAATTAAAGCCACCTGTCTTTGCCTTGGCACAATAAAACATAGCAGCAGAATGCAAAAAGTAATTGACAACAGATTCAGTACCTCCTGATTCCTCAGACCATTACAGAATTATTTTTACAGTCATGGTTAACAACATTGAGGAACACAGTATTTTTAAAATCGAACAAGTATGTATGCTATTATACACTATTGTAGGGTATGATATCATTATGAGCTTGTGGCAACATTTTTAGTGTCCTTAACCTACCAGCTTAATAATAGATGTATTTGAAAGCAGCAAGCAGAGCCATTGTAGCATAGATCAATAATGACTGAGGAAAGAATCTTTAAATGAATTTCACAAAAAAAAGAATTTTAGTTTTTTGTGTGTACTGATGTATACCGTGGATCCATGCCATGCAAGCACGGAAAATTAAATGTTGTACAGCAAAACTTAACAAATCTGGCTACGTGCAAGGTAAGAGTTAAGTTAATTAAGAATGACAACCACCTTAAATTTTCCTTTTCTTCTAATTCGGATTTTGTTGATGATCAGCCATTGTAAAGCTCAGAGAAAAACGGCTGTCAGAACGCAATTATTCAGTAGAAGGACTAAACATCCAAGTGAAGAAAAGAAGTGTGTATGAGCCTCATTCATCTCTGCACCATTCAAACAGCACAGTATATGAGAATTTACAGTGCTTCTCATCTTTGAGAAGAAAGGGAGAGGTTGTTTTCTACTCATGGAGATCTAATGCTTATCCAACAGCACGTAACTGTCTTGTGCATTACCATAACTATACATTCAAATTCATATTAATATTTATGTTCATACAGCTAGTCCTTTAAAACAAAATGCTACAATCCAATACACAAAAGTATCTAAAACACATACAATTGCAGCTTTTACACACTAGTCCATGTTGTTTTACTAGGTCTGCATACCAATTTCATTAACTGCAAATTCAATAATGTTTCTGTCTCTTCTCTATGAAGCTTATACATGTTTGCATTTTGAATTAATTTAGGATCAGGGCATTGTACAGGGGTTTGCAGGGGCATTCTTTCATATTTTAAGGTCATATGTATTTTTGATTTACATACTTAACATTCCTAATGGAGTCTTGCAAACACCCGGTACAGAACCCTTTAAAATCATAATGTATTTGTTGTTAACTTCAAAACACATAAAACACAGCATATTTCTTAACTGCACCAATAAATTCCAAGAAACTACTGTACACTATAAGCTATCGTGCTCTGTGAAGGTTATTTTTATATTTAGATGGTGACAGTTCCATACTACATGCAAAATATTTGAGAGAATTAGAAATTACATTAATGTATAGAGGATGCTTTAATACTCATTCTCATACCCTGTAAAATATTAGGATTCATTCAGTTCACAAAAAGGGCATATACTATGTGTGTCTGTAAGACCTAACAGTATACATTATATTCTACAATCACATAAAACAACAAGCATTGTTCCTTTAGCTCCGAAATGGCAAAACCAGTACACTCATCGATACAGCCTTTCAGTCTTATTACTCTTTTCTCTGGCATTCTTTTTCAGACATCATTTGCACATACAGTGGTTTACAAGTACAAGTGTGATGCATTGGATTTTGATTTGCCATGTGGGATTCTGGGTATTAGCTAGCTGTGCACTTAGATCATATCTGCATCTAAGTGTGCATTTAATATATTATATATTTTATACACCTACCTGTAGCTTGAATTGGTTAACTCATCTTGACCACCAAATAATGCAATCTCCACTCTATATACGTTACCATATTTCTAATGCTACAGTATTATGTAACACCTACAGTGTGCATTCTCAGCTAGAATCTGAAAGCTATTTAACCAATACTGCCATCCTCAGCTAAGTATAACCACACTGCACGAGAAAGCACGGTACTGAACAGTTTTGAAAATCAACCCTTATCACACATCAAACTCTACTGAATCACTTAATACAAAGGAGAGTTGTGCCAGTGGACCTGGGTTGTGAAATCATTCATTCTTAAATGTCAAGACCTCAAATGGCTGTTTTTAAAACAACCGAATCCATTCAATACAAACTAAACACATGCTTCATTGAAACCGAAATGCTCTTTCAATGGTTGTAACACAAAGTTGCAAAGCAGCCATTCATACAACCACAGGTGCAACTAAATCATGCATCACAGGTAACGCAAAATAAATCCCACTCTCGAGACTGACACAGTGAACACAGGCTTTTGACAGTAGCTTGGGGGAAGATCTCAATGATTCTGTAAACCTGCATTGTGACTTCAGCACAATAATAATAAACTAATTCACTGAAATACGCACCGCAGTCAGTGTCAGCATTACTACAGCATTACTACAATAACTGCTGATAAGATGCTTTTACTTAGCACGAGTCTTTATTTTAGTGTACTGTTTCAAGGTCTCTATCGAAAAAAGTAGCAAAAATATGTATTTTTTCTCAACTTCTACTGAAGTGCGTGTTTCCGTTTTACATTTAAGTTCATTTTAAGCTGTTAGTTCGGAAATGAGTGAACTAGCTATTATTTTGACACCTTTCTCCATTCACGATACATCCAGCAACACCCATGCGAATGCGAGAAAAAATAACTGTAGTAATTAAACATATATTTCCCGTTGAACACGTTGTCAAGCTTTAATTTCCAAAAGCATCTGGTACTTTTTTCCACATTTTCTGCAAATTCAACAGCCATGACTGGAATCCGAGTTTCATGCAACCCACCCCCCTGAGTTTTTCTACAGGTATTTCTAATACATAATTAACAATAATATTTAAAAAAAATACCTTCTTCAGCGCTGACATTCTAGTGAATTCCTGGATAAAAGATCCTTTTTACATGTTGAGGTCACCAGTCAAGTTTCGGGACAGTGCAATGTATAATTCGATATGCGCTGGTACTGATGCTGTTGCGCTGGTAGGTATTTGATATTCCCGTCGCGGTTTCCATGCGCCGCTGTCAAACCCCACTCCACAGCTGGCTGGCTCTGCGCATGTCAAGAAAGTTGGGGCTGGAGCGTTAACAGCGGAGAGAGAGAGCCGGAGCGTCACGGGCGCCATTTTGAGAAGGTCCAGTCGCGAAAGGGCGTCGTTTTGCTGAGTCTTGCGGCTGTTTTAAACCAGGCGGTGCTTTGGAAATGACCCAATAGGACCTTTGCAAAGAAAGCGAGTGACGGAGGAGGGGGAAGCGTCCGGAAGGATTTCAATGGCGGCGCCAGAAAGAGGGAAGCACTGGGAAAGTTGCGCGACAGGCAGAGTGAAGCTCTCTTAAGCATGACACGGACGAGTGTGGTGAAATGCCCAATAAGAGGAAAGAAGGTAAGGAGACATCGGCGTGATGCTTGTTGCGTTACAGCGGAGAAATGTTCAGCGAGCTGAATCTCGAGCCGAAACTGCATTTGACTGTATGTTTTCACAGCTTTAAAACTAAATCACGTGTCTGAGGATGCCGATCCAGAGCGTCTTTTAAGCGTTGTATGTGACACGCAGTTTAAGTTAAAGAATATAGAGTGACACATGGTATATTTTGTCTTAAATAACACCCAGGACATCACTCCATCAATTCAAGGAATCGTATGTTTTCTTCTTTTATATTAATAGTTGCCACAGTCCTAGTTAAGTTTACGGTATTGAACCGAGGATGATTTTTGGATTTAAATTTTGTTACTTGATTACACTTTTGTTTAAATATTACACCCCTTACCGGACTGTTCGTGAGTCTGTAATTGTCAGACTACTATTGAACTGTATTTATCAGCAGGAATGGAGAAGCATGATGCGACCTGTGGCGCTGTTCAGCTGCAGTTTGTTTTTAAAAGCTGTTATTGTATGTGCACCTCTTGATGTATGTTTTGTGTTGCCTACCATGCGGTCAGCTAAGGAAACAGAAGCCGCCTCCGGCCAACGACCTTCCGTTTTCTACCCGTTTCATCCCATTCATGGTCGCGGGAGAGCCGGAGCCTATCCCGGCAAGCAGCGGGCGCAAGGCAGGGTACACAGTGGACACCTGTCCATCACGGGGCACACAGACACACACCAGGGCCAGTGGTCCCGGAAGCCATTTAACCTACCAGGATGTCTTTGGACTGTGGGATTAAACTGGAGCACCCCGAGGAAAGCCGGGTGAACATAAACTGGACATAAACTCCATGCCGATAGCTCCCCAGGAATTGAACCTAGAGCCCCAGCACAGGGTTATTGGTGTTGTACTATAGTGCACGATGCTGTTCAGCATCATTTAACATTTAATATAACTGCATATTCTCAATGTCTTAAAAACCCAATAACCCTCTATGTAAAATATCTTTTTTTTTAAGCAAAATGTCTAAATGGACTGATTTGTCCTTTCTTATTTGTTACATCAGAAGAAAACAAAAACATGTTTGTTCGCCCCTCCTGTATTCATGTTTTATTTTCAGTCCATTTTTTCTGTTGAGGGTATCAAGTATACAGTAGGTGTACCTAAACTCCCATATCTGAGTTACTTAGCTTCAAGGGTACTTCAATGTGTTCTACTCGCTTAACAAAATGAAGATTTAGAATGCACGGTCATGATAATAATTCCTTGCATCTTTCCCTTTCATCCCAAATGGTCCCAAAGTGCTTTAAATATAGGAAGGGACCCCGTTTATCTATCAATGAAATGTAGCACCCACCTGGCTTAGTGTCCCTACTACCACTATACAGCTGTTCAGTGCAAAATGAATAATTCCTGTGTCATTGCAACATGGACTAAGAAAATTCCGTCATTTTGGATGACGGAACATGTTGAGCACTTTAAGTACATTATCGAATGATTCCAAGGCACTATAGAGTGTGTGATCTTCAGCAGTCATCATTTAATCACAACTGTGGTATTGCCTATGATTTGACAAAGCTATTTACTTCTGTGCTCTATGCACTTTCACTCCAGCCTTGTTTTCCTGGACTCACCTGGAATCACTGCTGTGCCTCTCGATAAGAGGTCAGCAGATGAGAGCTACAGCCAGTGAAAATGTTATGTTGACAAGGTGAAAATTTCTTGAATGTGATTCAAAACCGGACAGCCGGTTTGTGCAGACAAGCCACCTACTGTAGCATATTCATGTTGCTTAGTAACAGAATTTCAGCAGATGATCTGGTCTGTTGATTTAGTGTGTTCAGAGACCGATTTAATAAATGGCAGTCCTTAGAGGCAGGAAGAGATGAACATACAATGTGTCTGAAAATCTGAGTTTACAGAGGTGGGAAGGGTAGTATACTTTTTTTAGGGTTCTGCAAGTAGTACAAGGTGCATGACTGTTGCTTACATGAGATTTCTTGACCAGAACTACAGTAAGGACATGGTCCTAATGGACTTGTGGGTTTGTAGCCATTGAAGAAGCCAGCAGCTGACAGTTTCAACACTGATTAACTAGAGGCAGCTGCTGAAGCTGATGTTCAGAAACTGTGAAAGAGCATTAGTTGTATTATGATGTGTATTTACCCAGTGTATTTGTTGGCATTATCTAAAAAAAAAACAGGGATTGATTAGTTTGCATCGCTTGGCATATCTTTGTTTAAAAATGTAGGCTGAATATTCAAGATTGGAATTTTATTGACCTTTACTCATGTAATTATTTACTGCAAATTAAAGGGGGGACAAGCGTGAATGAGATCGGTTATTATCTGCCTACCCTGATTGTGACAAGGATCTTTTCATTGCAAGTTTTGACAATTTGAGGCTAACTAGGTATTACTACACAGGATGGACAACTTTGACAGGATATTTCTTAGCGCAGTGGTTCTCAGACTTTTTTGGACCAAGTACCACCCCTGATCAAACCAAAGCATCCAAGTACCACCTACAAGTCATCTCATAGGAACCCCAGAAATTCTCAATGACTAACAGCAGCGCGCGTGTGCGCACACACTCGCATACACATATAATAAATATTATAATAAACTTTATTTGATATAGTGCCTTTAAAGGTGGCTTCTCAAAGCGCTTTACAGAAAAAAAAACAGGAACAACAGCTATTAAAAATAAATAGTTAAAAGCACCATTTCAGTGAGAGGGGTGAGGCTGTTTAGTCAAGCAAAGCAACTTTCAACTTTACTGTGCACAATTCTGCAAATAAAGAAAATATAACAGGACAAAAACAGTATAAGGTAATTCTTGGAACAGTGCAAAAATAGTATGGTTAAAAATAGTATGGTTAATGAATAAATATTAAATATTACGACCGGTACAGTTTTACTGGGCTATCGAGGGGACAATACAATTTTGGCTTCCATGTGTGTGTAGTGGTGTAGGAGTACAGTCATTGTGGGTACAGGAAGAAGTGAGGAGAGATCATAATATGATGGGAGGGAGTGGGGGCGTCACCAGCTTGACAGCTCTGGGGAAGAAGCTATTTTGGAGTCTAGTTGTGTGCGACTGGAGCGTCCGGAACCTTCTGCCACATGGTAGGGGAACAAACAAGTTATGACTGGGGTGAGTGGGGTCAGACATAATTTTGGTGGCTTTTTTCAGACTCCTGGTGTTGTAGATTTCCTGGATGGATGGTAAGGCACTGCCGATGATGTGTTGGGCAGTTTTGACCACCCGCTGTAGTGCCTTACGGTCGGATGCGGTGCAGTTGCCATACCAGACTGTGATGCAGCTGGTCAGTATGCTCTCCACCGTACATCTGTAGAAGTTGGTGAGGATCTGTGGATGTAGGTGTATTTTCTTTAGCCTTCTCAGGAAGTACAGCCGCTGTTGTGCCTATGTTCAGACATAGGTTGGTTACTCACCTTGGTTTACTCACTTGGTTTTTAAGGGACTGTTTTATTTGCTTTGAAAATGATGCCTTTTGCTTTGTTGCGGTGTCTCTTCACTGAATTCAGCCAAAATCTCATCACTAGTCTGCAGTGTTTACAATATTGATCTCTCAGTTGATATCCATTGTTTGTGTTGTATCTCATTAATGGTACTGTATGGATGTCCAAACTGCTTTGAAATGGAAGAGAAGCATTCCAAACACTAGCAGCTGGACAGTGATAGGAGGCAAGAGGAGTTGCCTTCAGTAGTTGCTCTGTTGGAGTCTTTCATCAATCCATTAGCTTGATGTTTTGGCATGTGGTACTAATGCATATAGAGTGAGTGTTGCATGTTCCATCACACACACACACACACACACACACACACACACATTGTGTTGGTTTTAAAATTAGACACATTTGAAAAGCTAATGTTTTTTTTGCTATGGAGGTAACTCTCCTTTAAATTGTGGTGCGCCAAATGAGCCATTTCTGAGCATAGACTCTTTTTCTCTCCATCAGAAATGGATATGCAGTCTTTTGTTCCCCCTTGGTATCATTGTGCTCATTTTGTCTTAGATGAGAATCCAGCAGACCTTGGTTTTGGAGTAGATAGACTCCCATGTTCTAAATCTGCATTTGGGTTTTCCTAACAATGAAATTAGGTACTTGAAATTCATATTGCATTTCCTGAATTGTCCTGCTTTTTGGCAAGAGTGTTGAAATTGTACATTGCCTGTGTTCATGAAAGAAATTTCTCTTAGAGCCTTCTATGCCACTGTCAACCAGTCATTTAAATGGTGACAGCTGAGCTGTTTTCTGGCTATATCCTGAACTGTGTAAGCGTCTTTTTCTGTGCTGGGGTACAGCAGTTCAGTGGAAAAAGCATTCACTGAATTTTTAAGCTTTGGACCTGCCAAATTCACATCTAGATCTTGGTGTCCGTGGCTTGGAGAAGGTCCAACTGCATCTTTTTCATGAAATTACCAGTTTGCAGTGTTAGGTTGTCAACATTTTTTTACTAGTTTCATAAATATTCTGCCCCAGCTATAAAAGGTGTTTAATAGCCTGGAACCCATTTCAACTCTGTATCTTTCAAATGTGCAAAGTTCTGCTACAAGGTATTTTTTTACATTTTGATTGACTAATTGGGGGGAAACAAAACAAGCCTGTGAATGAAAGACCTGCATCTCACTTACATCGCCTTCAAATGACAAGCAACTGTCCCAGATCACCCTTTGTAAAATCTCTAGTGAATACCAGTCATGGCAGCAGAGAGGAGTCAGATGGGAAATGGGAAAAACTCCACACATATGGCAGTAACACTCCACAAGACAATCTAAATCAGTCCAGTACTCCATACTAAGGAAGCAAGTTTGTCCATCTTACTAGTGAATCATACTGATTTAACAACTATGACAAAGTAGCTCCAAAAGTAAAGAACGAGAACAGGAGATGCATTTTACACAATTGGTCGTGTGAATATGGAAAACACTGCCTAGCTATATTGTCAAAGCTCATACCCTTTTATGAATTAGTTGCTATAAAAGCAGGCTAGTTGTGAGAAGTGACAACCTCTCATTTGTAATCAGTTTTTGTGTTCCAACTGGACAGAGACTGAATATCTGTAAGTACTGAAATTCTTAAGGTGAGTTCACAATCCAGGGTTTCCCACTGTTGAATACATGCCAGATGGGCTGCTGAGATATTGTACACAAGAATCCAGACTGAAACACTGTTTTGTAGTAAGGCGCTGCAAGATGACTTGCCAGCCAGCAGCTGTGGTGGGTATGTAATTGCATAACTCTCAAGTGGCATGCCTTGGGACCAAATCTCATGGTCTCATGCCTTGGGACCAAAATCTCCTTGGTCGGTAAATCGGTGTCAAAAATCCAAATCAAATAACCAAGATGCCATTCTTTAAATTCACATGTGCATATCGAGGGAGTATGTATTCAATTTATTTCAATACATTTCTGAGAGTTTATCAATAGGTCAAATACACTTGCAAGACCGTAAGAACTGAATTTCACACTGTGTGCTTTGTCACTCTCCTCTCTGCCTGTGTACAAGTCTCTTTCAGATTTACAACTACAGAATGTATCTTTAAGCATGATCAAACCTTAGCTATGATGGGCCTGTTTAATTATGGACTTTTCTTTCTTATAACTGGTTTATATGTGGGAAATAAGGTTAATTAAAATGCATTTGGTAATAATGTTACAACTAAAGAGGTCATAAAATAAAAACAAAAACAGTAGGTAGAAACTGAGCTGTTTCCTTAACTCCAGAAGGGCCATGAGAGACAGGGCATCAGAATGAATCTTCTGCTCTGGGTAAACATAATAAAGACGGAACATTTAACACACAGAACACAGCTGGAAAAGTATTTTATAATACAAAAACAAAATATTATATATTATATAAATATAATTTATAATTTCTGTAGATACACGATTCCATATTATATTCCCTATTAATCAAATTCTAAAAGTATGCTTTCATTTACTCCCATAACGAGCATATTCGCAGAAAAGCTTAAAACATAACTTTTCTCACAAAGTATATAAACGTACAGTAATATGGTCAGAAGGAGCACATAAAAACGTTTCCGAAATAACCACATGACTTTGATGCTTAAAATGTTTAGGGAGAAATGGAATACTGGTGTGTATTTTTTTTTAAACTACCAATACCAGCCATATATAGTACAGTTTACATAATATGTTTATGTTCCTACATTAATATCGTTTATGACTTTCAGATGCGTTATGCTCCTCTTCTTTTTACGCTCGGCTACTAAAATTTCCCTTTAGTTGTAAAATTCCATATATTCAGTACTAAGCGGATTAAAACATGCACAGTGAAGAGATTAAATGATTAAATCTTTTCACTACCGACCAATGCACCACGAGTGCCCCTGTCGGTCATTTTGGGCAGCCAATCACATACCGGGGTATGACACAGGTAGTTGGGTGCAGTACGGGTTTGTACCTCACACTTGAATGGCTGCATCTGTATATGCACATGGTCGTAATGACAGTTATAGCAAAATAAGATAGTGTAATGAATGGCCTGTACTTTACATTCATTTTTGATGATACCTACATCATTGATGAATCTTATATTGTCAAACTAGTTGCTGTGTTAAAATAATATCCTGTCCAAGATAATATTATTTTCGTTATAATAATAAAGTAACTATTGGCTTTGTAAACCAGTACAGTAATCTAGCTGTTGGACGGATAGGTGGGAGTCAGAAGGTAACGTTAAGTGTCCCTTTGCTGTCTGTGAGAGGTTACCTCCAGGCCTAAGCTTTTTCCTGCAGGAAAACCTTGCCGTCTATTAGGAAAGCTTTTATCTCAGCCACTTACATACTAATGCCGCATGCCATAAGCACAAGTTGTCAAAAGTGGAATTGATTTAATGCAACGTTCGGTTGCTTAATTTGACAATCCAGTGTTGATTATTTTTTTTTGTCTGTGCAGCATCTGCAGCTTAATTAGAAAGTGATTCACAGAAAAGCACGAGAAACACCCAACATAGTTAAAAACAGGCAGGAAAAATACTGTGGAACTCATAAACCCTTAATATGACTAGAAAAACCTCTCCCAATCTGCATACAATTCTGATGTTGCAGCTTTTCCGAATACTAAGAGGATAAAAAACAGTTACAAACCAGAGGAGGCCATCTGATCCGTTTGGTAATTAGGAGCCCATTGAAACAAGGATCTCATCCTGCTATTTCTTGAAAAAAGCCAGTTTATCAGCTTTAACAGCATGAATAGCTTGCACCATACTCCCTCAACCCTGATCGGTGAGAGATGTTGAACATTTAACGTTATTCATTTAAATATTTGTCTCAGTGTTCCAGGAAAAGGTTTTGCAGAGACTCTATCAGTGTTCTCCAAAGACCAAGAATGTGCAAAACGCTGGTCTGGGAAGCCCACCTGGACCTGTGGACGAAAAGTCACTTGTGAAGTTAAAAGCCAACAGCAACATTATAAAAGGTAAGAATTTTTGTGTTCCATAAAATGGGCTGTGTGAAGGCAAACATGCAGCTATTGTACAGCATCTGATTGTGGAAAATGTTCAATTTTACTACATCTGAGCATTTACATAGCAAGCTGGAGATCATTTGGTACAATTAAAACACTTCAGCATCTTGTATTTGCTGTTTACATCTCTAGGTTTAAATTTTTGTGTTATTTTTTTGTGGCATCCCTATGTGATGTATCATGGTAGACAAGAACAGATACTTTGGAAGGCATTCCTCAAAGTGAAATAGGAGTTCTGTAACAGCGAAGGAATAAGAAAGACATGTATAGGAATAACCTTGTTTGATAGAACCTTTTATACTGTCAACACTATGACTAAAGCCAGTACATGAATGTTGTTGTTTTTTTTTCTGTTTTCTAGGAGCTGAAGAAAAAAAACCTTTGCTGCAAAGGAGACTATACACTGTGTGCCCTCCCCCTGATGAGTTTAAAACAGGTGGTGAAAGATCTGTCGCACCATGTGAGCCAGAAGACATAAATTCGGAGAGAAACTCAGCTGGTAAGAAGGTTATAATCTTGCAAAGACAGTCTGCAAATGCACTTGCCTATACAGTATAAACACAAAGAAATATTAGGAAGGTTTCAGTTTCAGGACAATTCAGGTTGAGCAGAGTCCTTGAAACGTCAGGCTTAAAATAGTCCTCAAAGCTTAACTGAGCTGTGGAAGATGAAGACAATCGCATCAAATCTGTATTAGAGGTGATAGTCTATGGAATGTGCTACAATGATAATAGCCATCTTCACATAAAAGGGCATTTTACTATTGTTTTAATAAAATGGATGGATGACTACTATGAGAATGCAAAGGAGCATGCCTGAAGTTGTACATTGCACAGAACAAGTGGAAGAAAATAACCTTGACAAATCATTAGTGGTGTGGTTAGCCGTGGAATTGATTGTATTGCTGCAGAAAAGGCATAACCATTAATTCTAGGTTATGGCTTTGCATTATGGCCCTGTAGTGTTAGGCTCTAATAACAGGAGTTTGTTTTTCCTGCAGTGCGTCCTGATTAGTTGTCATCAGTTTGAGGAATACCAAATATGTATGCGGCCATAGTTCTAGGCGGTAACTAAAAAGTTGAGAAAACCTGAGAAAAATATAGTCCAGTATAATGCAAGAATAAAATAAATTTGTTTTCTGTGATCAAGACCCACATTCATCGTAGCCCTTAATTGGCTGCAGTTACTTTCAAACTGTTGTTCTTTTCTATTGTCAAAATTCAGAACGGTCTCCAGTGTTCAGTCACTAGTTATCCCTGGCTCAACAAGTTACCTTTTATGCAACTTTGTTGCAAGAACGTATGCCATTCAGATACGAGCTGTTTGCAAACTATAGAAGCTTTTTCCTGATCAGTACTTCACTTAGTCCGTAGTGGAGACATGGCCTCTGCAACACCTTTTCAGCTGGCCAGTAGGGAGGTGTCAGGTCGCAGGGCAAAGACCAAGCTGCGCAGGAGTGTTCCCTGGTTAATGTAGCACATGAAGTCATATCAGAGGTTGACTTAATTGTATGAAACGCTAAAAGTGTTTCTTCTCCGTCTTTAAATTTATATGCAGCTTCCAAACACCCTCTCGCGATATGAGACAGACACTGCTGCTCTGTCACTGAATGGTAACAAAAACATAATTCTGAAAACCTGGATAGGAATGTGCCTAAAAGAAGTGAGTGAAGTTAATCTGCTCATCTGGTCTAAGGTGTCTTTTCATCTTTTTTTCAATGTAGACATTGTTGTTCAGTTAAAGAAATTTGAACTTTGGGTATATTCTAGCTATCTTCTGTGTTTGTTAAAAATACATCTGAGATCTGAAGGTTTTCAAAGCAGTATGGGTTCTTGGAAAGGCATGAAGGTGCTTTCTTTTGCTGAGCCTGATCTTTTCAGTGTTTCTGTTTTCTGCTGATCTTGTGCAGCCCAGGGGTAGTAGCATACCCCTACTTGACTATCTCATTAGTGTGTTTTTAATCTTCATCCCTCAGAAAGTGTATAACCTTTTCTTGAGTCACCTCAATTCTGGGCCACCGCTGCAGAGTCTGCTGAGTTAGATATCTGTCAGTGCCAGTTTTAGTGCTGGTTTGATGAGGTGTGCAATTACCCATTTGGTGCTGAATGTGTATAAATGAGATGCTCAACAGCTATCACGTACAAATGTATTTCATTCACTCAGCCACCAAGGCAACATGTGAAGTGTACTCTCTACTGGGGAGTAGTTCCAAAGTCTGATGCACCCAACTCCTAACTTTCTTTTTCTATGTATTGACACAAGGGCCTTAATAATAATAATTGCTTACACTTATATAGCGCTTTTCTGGACACTCCACTCAAAGCACTTTACAGGTAATGGGGCCTCCCCTCCACCACCACCAATGTGCAGCATCCACGTGGATGATGCGACGGCAGCCATAGTGCGCCAGAACGCTCACCACACGTCAGCTAACAGTGGGGAGGAGAGCAGAGTAATGAAGCCAATTCATAGGTCTTAATATCTAAGACCTTTGAGTTCCAAGCTCCATTACTGCACAAAGATTGTATTTGAGAAAGATCATGCTTTCTGTTTTACTGTAATTAGAAATGCTAGTTTCTGAATTTTACAGACATGTCTGTTTTGTACAGCCAAGGCCAGACATATCTGTAAGCCTACATACATTTTTCTAACAGCACCTTTTAAATTATACATATTTTGTATAATTTAATTTTTGTGGTGAAACAGGCATTAGTTTAGATGCCAATAATGTTTCCAGTACAATAACCTGATTTTAGGAGAGTAAATTGCAATTGATCAAACTGAGGAATAGTCAACACCTCCCGTCTTGCACCTGTTGCGTGCTGGGATAGGGTCTGCCTGTATTGCCTGTATAGGGTATCCTGTATTGGATAAAGTGGTAAGAAAACCTTGATGTTTCTAAAGTCACCAGTCACTTAAGTTGCTTTTTCTTGGTTAATTTTTATCAGTAGCATTTTCATATTGGAAATCGTTTCAATAAGAAAGCTGTCGGTGCTGTAAAAACACGGGGATAATTAATTTTTGTAATTATGACATATAGATTGGTTTCAGGTATAGGTCAGTTCTACTGAAGTACAGCTAGACAACAAACGTACAGATTTTAAACAAATTTCTGACTTGGGCTCCTCCAATGTTTGACTTAGCTAGACAAGCATGTAGTTTTACACTGGAATAATACACAATAGCATTAAAAGTTGTTAAGGAACACTATTGTAAAGGGAAATATACGTCAATGCTTTGTGGGGTGAGTGGAATTCAGAGAAATTGTCAGCCGGTATGCAATCTTGGAACCATATATTCTGCTTTATTGCCGTATAATTATAATTACTTTAGAGACATGACACGCATGGTGCCCACAATAATTAATTTTTATTTTCTTAAATGAGCTCTGGCCTATTTATTTTTTTCTATTGCTCTTTGAAGATCTGGTAGTAGTATGTCTTTACTACAAGAGTAAGTTTGAAATGGTCTATTGCAGTCTTTAGGTTGGTTGGGGTCATAGTCTGTCAAAGCAAATATTTTCTTAGGTTTTGATTAGATGAATTTGTATCCAGTCACCGGATTTATTCAACGAAGGCCATTAAAGGCATAAAACAAATCCTATGTATACTTTACAGTCGCTCTTAATAATGATCATATGACATTTTAATTATGATCCTTTTCTGTATTTGGCCAGTCTGGAGTCCCTAAGTATGCTGGCGTAGCATCACAGTTAATGTTTTCAGCAGGGACTAAAGCACCTGCACATTCATATGCCACGCCTCCACAGAGCTGACATGCAAGGCGGGAATCGTTTCATGTGGCATAGGGATAATACAAATTTTGTTCATTAAAATTGAGAGCATTCCTTTCTTTTACCTAAGCAAGCCTTTGTATGCCAGTGATGGTGTACTCTGTTGTGCTGGGACAACGTTACGTCTGGGATGTTGGGAGTCGCTCAGCCAGGAGCCTCATGCCCCTCAGATATTCTTCACTCTTCTTTAATATGTTCTGTAAACATATGAAAAAATACTGTGTATCTTGTGGGAGGTCATTTCCTGGATATGCATTTAATGGGAAAAATAACATGCATACCAAGCAGCAAGCCTGCTTCCTAACCTAGGTAAGGTAACGCATCACAGCTGCTGCCTTGATTTCTCGGCTTTATCAATGAATGCTGAACAGCTCCATTCTCCTTTTGATTCACCATCTTTCCTCAGTGTGTGGGAGGATGCTGCTTGTGCACTTAAGTCTAAATGATTGACAGCTATGAGCTAATTTGGAATAAACAAAGCAATTGATGGATTTCTGCCTTCAAACATCTTGGATATGTGGGGCTCACAGAGGACAAATGTAATTCCTCCCTAAGAATCACAGGCACATTTTGAGGGTATTTGTGTTTTTAATATTATCTCATTTTCCAGTCGAGTCCAAATAAAGTACTTTTTCTGCCAGAATCTCCCAATATCTGGTTTAATAGATCAGGGTTTCTAAGTGAGAAGTATCTGTGTACTTCAATAATATGCTTCAATGGAGTTGCTTTCTATGTGTAGTTTGTGGTGTTCATATTTAGGTGCAAATTACCTTAAATAAAAAAAAGTAAAACACAGGAAAAGGAAGCACATAACCTCTGTGCTGCTTCATGTAATTGTGTTTTATATATTGGCTTCCATGGTGGCCTAGAGATTGTTACATGCCTCTAAATTGAACAGGCACCATTTCCATTCATAGTATTAATCCTGCCCTTATGTTAGATTAGATTGACTTGTTGTGCAATAAGAGTGGAAGCTTGTTTTAAATCCCCCCCCATCACAAATAATACATTTAACATGAAACACTTAAGACACACAAACATAAAATTCATCTGTAAACACAAAAGAAGAGCAAAACATCAGACAAGAAGATCAAACATCAACAGTTAAAATCAGACTATGCAAATACCTGGTACAACATCTAAAATATTATTAACAACTTGGCATTCAGTTGTTTTTGTCATGCATTAACTCCGCCAGTGCGCACCCAAGTCATGTTGTTACTGTGGGCAGTAAATGTACTGTTCTGTAAACATTCCTTCCAATTCAGATCTGGGTATAATGATCAAGACGCTGTACAGCAGGTGAGATGAGGCCCACTGATTGCTTCTTGGTTGTTGACTATAGGATGTCAATTACAGGCATGTTCTACTTCTGTCTGTGAGGGAATCAAAATCCAACCCTGTAACTGGGTTTCCTTACTTTTATTTAGATTAAGTTCGATTACAGTTTTTATCTGGGTTCCTAAAAGGTAAAGTTGGGTTTTGATTTTAGATCAGTTCTAAACGTCTCACTTGGATTCTGGTTGAGTGCAGTACAAGGTTATCAAAAAGATTTAATAGACCACCAAAAAAATAAGAATAGATTCTTCGCCATCTTTCTTAAACTTTCTTAAAATGTGATCCATGTTGAAAACCAGTAGTTTTGCAGCTCACTTTAAGGGTGATAATGTTTAAAATTGAGGAGCATTTCCTACTTAAAAGGTTAATTTAACGTAGTAAGATGGGACAGCATTTTCTGAAGATGTTCATATGTCATCCTAAACATCTTTACTATTTAAGTGGCCAAACAGCAGGACTTCCACACTGAATCAGACTTCTGCTGTTGAGAGTCTATGGGTGAAATGGCTGCTCACCTGCCAGAAGCTGTTGACTTAATCCTAGTCAGAATACAGTCAGAGTCAGGTGATGGTCTGTGCTAAACTTGCTCATACCTGAGTGAAAGAAGGGTCTCAGGGCTGTGCTGGAAGAGTCCAGATGCAGGCAGGCAGACTGGAGTGGCAGGCAGTCCAAGGGAAGTAACAGGAGCGTGTTCGAAATACAAGCATAGTTTAGAGCCAAGTACTCCTCAGAGACAAAACACAAGGGGAATCCAAAAATGAGGTCAAAGTGAAGCAAGGTCAGACTTGGGAACACCAAGATTTAGGGAGCAAGACTGAACACCAGACTGGACTTTAATAGCCAGGTCCCCATGAGACAGTGATGATGGTTAAATAAGCACAGGTTGAACAGATCTCCTGCCAGAGTACATAGTCACTCAGGCCACAGGCTGATTTAGGGGTCTGGTAGACGCTCTGCCGCTGATTTTAGCATGTTCTTCAGCACCCCTTGCAGGAGTGAGCATGGGAAAAACAGTGTTGGTACACACTAGGAACTGTACATAAGTTGTCTTCCACACAGACTTGTGTGAAATGCTGTGGTGGCAGTTCATGGTGCCTTGTTTAAAATGTGGAATAAAACAAAAACTGAATAAAACCATTTTTGTTTAGCAGGATGTTGAAAACCATTCCATTTTGTAAAGGCAAAATTTTACCTAAATGGCTTTGCAACTAATGTTCCAGTTATAACTAATTCAATTAAAGTTTCTTCCAACATGTTATGATCTTCTTATCAATATACTGAATGTACTGTACTTATCATAAAAATTGAATTAGTAAACTGAATTTTAGAATTGTTCTTTAAGTGTTTAAATTTACCACCTCCCCAAATCAGTAATGTTCTCATGCCTTTGCTTGGGTGGTAGTAAAAGATGGCATTTTCTGTTTATCCTCCTGTCCCTTAACTGATTTTCAGCTAGAGTGGGCTCTTGATGGGAAATACTGGTAAAAGACAGCGTTGGCTAAAGTCCTCGATATTTGTCCTTTTATGGGATCATAAAATGTCTATATATAAAACTAAACAATGTACATCATAAGAGGATGTGAAGATATGGCATAAAAATTATTAAACAGATTCTATGGATTTTGTTTTTAGGTTATGTCAGAAAGTTCCTTTCCTTTTCATTCCTTTTGTTCTTAACAGACTATTTTTTCTAGATCAGGAGTACAGGTGCGGGTTTAACACCGCTCTAAAGCTGAGTAGATAAGCACAATCCAAATGGAAAACCAGAGCACCAAGACGCATACTTTCTCTCTTCTACAGTCAAGTGCTGAAGGTTTAAAAAGCTGCTTATTTTGATCACAGTCTGGTTTCCCCCCCGCCCCTCTCCTTTGTCAAAAGAGGATGCTCCTCAGACCAGCACCGGGAGAAGACCAAGGAGAAGGAAGAGGAAAACTGGGAACCCATCCAGCGGAGTCGCTGGGGAGGAACGGGCTGAGCACGCTGCCACACCCACCCCGGAGCCAGAGAACCCGCCAGAGTCCCCACACCAGGAGGAGAGGGACGCAAGCCTGAGCAGAAACAGAAAGCGAAAGCTGAAGAAAAGGCGTCGGAAGGAAGAGCTCCGGTCTCTGGGGCTGATACCCCGGACTGCGGCTGTCGAGTTTACGTACCGGCCAGAAGAGGGCGGCATCCTCGGGCAGGAGGAGGAGGAGGAGTTGAGTGGGAGGCAGGCAGCAGATGTTCTTGACTTCTTACAGGCAACACAGGAGATCTATTTCACTGACCGTAAGTTTTGCACTTCTTTTTTATCCAGGAACATTTACCTCCCTAAATTGTCTGGAGGTGTAGATGTTTTCATACCTTGGTCCTGAGAGAAATCATCCAGAGGCGGGATTTTTCAGAGTTGTATGACGCCCATTAGGTTAGTAAGTGACTGGAAGTTTCCCTGGAGAAGGTTGGGGGGGAGCCTTACACAGCTTCAGTATTGACCCAGCACTGCCGGATGAATTATTTTCTGCAGTAATTTTTTTTCATCTCGTCTCATTGTCCAGAAAAAAGCTAAAACAAACCTGTACAGACATCTTGCAAATAAAGAAACTAGTAAAAAAAAAAGTTGATTAAACTCTGATAATGTAAATAGTTTAGAATATAGTTTTTAACGATAGGAATTTAATTCTGTAAAGAAGGGGTGAGCATGTTATACCAACTAGTACTCTGGACAAACTGTGTAGCGGGTGTAGGTTCCCTTTGCAGATTGACACCCTTGTGCCCTAGATCAAGCTGTTGTGCCTTGTTTGTGACAATCAGCATGGACTGTTAGCCCATAAGGTTCACCTCTTATGGGCTAACAGTCTGTCCAGCAAATATTTCCTATTCTAGTGTGACACTGACTGCTGTGTATTGTTCCACCTCAAGGATTTCTGATTTTATTTTTCTGAGGTGAATGCAATTCTGAACAGATTCAGTATGTTGTTACGAAATAACTTATAGTTTGTATTATTACCATGTAATACCAATTACCAGTTGTGAGTTGCAAAGTGATATGGCTTCTTTCTGTTATAATTTACTTAGGCTTTCAAAACACTTGATAAAATGTCTCAAAATAACTGATGTTTGCTCCCTAACTTTAACATCTAAAAGAACTGGTAGGAAATGGTTAAAAAAGAAAAGATTCTAGTAGTAAGAGTATATCGGAGTGAATTTTAAATGGAGTATGATAGAGATAAGCACTCAAACCCCTACAGTTTTCTTATTTCTATGATAAACCTGGACTGAGGGAGACATATTGCAGACCTAATTTGCAAACTACTTAAAATTGCCAACCTAGAAAGAGCAGTACAGTTAATTTAAAGTGAATGTGATCTACCTTATAACTAGATATATTTGTAGCAAATGCAATTTAATATTGACAAGTTAAAGTGCTAAAATATACATGCATAACAAATGGGAGCTGAATCTACATTCAGTATCTTTGTTTAGAGAATTAATGCATAGATTATATAATTCTCTAGTTAGACTCTCGTTAATATGCTGTATGCTCGTTAAAAGATAATGTATGCACCACCACAGTATGTACTGTGACATTTTCTTGACCTGCAAACAGGCTTGATTGATGGGGTTGGTGAAAGAGAACATTACAAACACATCAGGAATTTACTGAATTTTAACCGGAATATATCTCCAAATGTTTTACTTAAAACAAATTGTACTTTAAAATACATTTAATATCATAAAGAAAATCTCAGTCTCATTGATACAGCCACATATTTCTAGTTGCAAAGAAAATTCTGCTGCTTTTTAAAATTGATAAAGATCTACGTGGCTTTCTGCATGACCTTTTATCTGTACATTTTTAAGGTATTTTACTAATTTGAAGTAGGCTGGAATACATTGTACACTGCTAAAATATATATAATGTAGGTGATTCTACATTTCAGTTTCAGTAATGCACCCATAACAGTTCATTACTGGAAAAAATAATTATTTTTTCAATTCCATTAAGTAAATCTGTGTTCTGTTCATATTGATCTAGGTACAGCTGCAGCTTCCAGGACCGCGGTTCCTCAGAGCTTTCTGAAAAGCCTTGCCACTGGAGCAGTCCCTGCTGCACAAGTGGCACTGCTATATCAGCTCAAATCCCTTGTACTGCTTCAGGATATTGAGCGGCTAAAACGTGCTCTGGAAGAATTCCAGCATAATTCAGTGATGCCTCCTGGTATGTGTCTTTACTTTTCAATATCCCCTTTTCTGAGTCCAAAGCCACTAGATTATGGCATCTGTATTCGTGTCATTTAGCATATAAAAGAGGCTGATCTTTGTCAGGGTTTACAGGAAATGTATTTTGATCCATCTGAAATTAAATTAAAAACTCCCAAGGTAATAGCTTCAGAGCCGGCAGTGCAACTGTGGGTCCTCCCGTAATAGGATCAGCTCTATTATTTGTTTTGGCAAAGATTCTTTGGGGTTATAGGGCACAACATTGCACATGGGCTGGCATGTTCTGTATCTGGGCCAGACGGCCCTGCCTCTGGCCATGGGCTTACAAACACAAAATCTGTCCCGCACCCATTTAAAAAAACGTAGCAGTACATTTTCTCCTTCAAGCTTATCCTTATGTTGTGCTGTCTTTCAAGAATAAACTCGACAACAATTCCAGAAAAAAGCTAGAAATTAAAGTTTTGTCTAACAGTAACGTTTATGTATAAGTAAAGTGCATGTCCAAACCCAAGGATGCTTTACATAGTGATGGAGAAAGAAAAAAGATTTTGAAAAATGCAATAAATAAAAGAAAAAATAAAATCAGAAATATGCAGGATAAAGTGTAGGACAGTCAGACATAGGCCCAAGCAGAAAGTTAAGTTTTTTAAGTTTAAATTTGGGGGGAACTTGCATACTAAATCAGTACCGGGGAGTGCCATTTAAACTGAAAATAGTAGCTCTTTGTGTAAAAAGAATCAGGGAGTTTGGAACAAGCAACATAGCCATGTTGTTGAAACTCGCCCTAACCTCTTTTACAAATAAAGATCTTTGAATCACTTTGCTGAGAGTCAATGACTCCAAATGGCTTCCTCTCGTTGGTAACGTTCCTTCTGCTCAGTGTGGTTGAGGGATAGGAGTTTCATAAATGTAAGCGAATCATTTGTATCTTATCCCATATGAAACCCACGATGCATCAACAAAAATTCTGTTAACTTTTACTAAATAGTAAACCACTCTCACCATTACTGTAGAAATCGATGTAGTAAAGAGAATAAGAATTTTGTATCCAACAATATAATCACTGGTATCTGATTCATTTGTACTTACAATCAAGTGGAATGCAGCCCCAGAAGTGAACTAATCTGTAAGATCTTGAACGCAGAACTTCTCTACTTAATGCTAGGATCAATAATTGAGTACTTAATACAGAAAAACTGCTGTATGTATGTGTGTTTAAATGTATTTTTACTACCTTATGGTTTGTGGATGAAGCCTGAAAATTCTGGAGTTTACCACCTAGACCCTTTTTAAACAAAAGCAGGAAATCAAGCAGCCATCGTCTTTATCTAGGAAAACAATTTTACATCATTTTTATAGAATTTACTCCACCTGATCAGTACTTTATCTGGTTTTCATTGGCTAAACAGATTTTAAGTTTAAACTCAGATTTGTGACCACGTTCTGGTATTTTAGTGCCACCATTTTGAGATATAAATTGATCAAATATCTTATGTGGTGCCAGATTGAAGCAGGTGTGGCTGTTAGCCACATTTAAAAAAAACGTGTTTAGAAGAAGACTTTTCTTCCAAACATGTTTGGAATACAGTATGCAGTAAGCATTTTGGCAGTAACCCAAAATGCTTACTGCCCTCTTGGTAGAGATGTCTTTAATATTATTGTCACATTTTACTTATCAAGTACCCATGATGAAACGTGTTCGTTTTAAAGTAAAGATTGAGTTGAAAAATGAAAAGTCAAGAATGACTAATGGTGGTTATTCAGCCATCTTGGTTTATTCAGAACCATGTTTTTTCCATGTTTTTGCGTTTCTCCACAGATAATATCTATTACGTTGGGACTTAACTGGCTTAACATTTTTTAAACAATGTTTGACATTTACAACATTATTTGGTAAGGTTTGATCCCGTCAAAAAGCAGGATTTTTTTAGTTAGTTCCACAATGTTTGAAAATTGGAGTGCTATTGTACCAAGCATAATGCCTGCCAAATCTGGTGTGAAATTCTTAAACTGGGTTTGAAAAGAGGCCATTTGAAATTAGAGAACAAAATGGCTGCCAAGATCTTTTCCGTTATCAACAGAACCAGTTGGGCTAAATTCTGTTGGCTATAGGAATATTTCTAATGAACTTGTGTGACATTTCCATCCCTGGAGCCATTGTTTAATACACAGCCCTAATTAAAACTCTACAGCAGTAGCACTGCCTATAATTTGTAATAAGTGGCACGGTAATAGAAGGGGTATGTAATAGCTCCAGCATATGGAAAAGTTCATACCCCTTCTAGTTTTGCCACAATAATATTTGTACCTCCCAGCTAAAGCCTTCAAGCCAGAGATACAAATATCAGCAAAGCTGTGAAGAAATTGAGAACCAGCTGATAGTTGTACAGCTGTGCAGTTTTCCTTTATTCCTGGAGCTTCTGTTCAAGAAGGAATTATTAACTTGATTAAGTCTGTTGTTGAGGTTTTGTAAAGAGGAAAACAGGTTTCTTAGAAATGTTTTGTTGTGGTTAAATCAGGATAGAGTACTGATCATTCTCATTCGCATTTGAACCTGGATAACAAAGGATTTGCCAATTTCATGTTATAGGGAATGTATAAGAACATGACTGTAGTGACCAGTAACCCCCCCCTTGGTGTCACAAATTGTATACAGGCCTTGAGATGATGTGATACTTTCTGACCACCAATGATATTGTAACATGTACTGCAATACAGTTACACTGACATGAGGCTGGAAGAAAGATCTCTATTATCAAGCATGCTGCAAAGGATTAAGTAACGATTAATTCCAGACCAAAAAGTAAAATAAATCAGCCGAGGAGCCTTCTAAGATCTTAAACTTCGCCTGAATGTGATTACTACAGAGCTGAGCATTGGGATTCCCTTTCGTGGATTAGCAAAGCCCTGGTTTTTGTAGTAATGTTTAACTTAATCTGCTTTTGTACCCTGAAGCAAGCGTTAGACTGATTTTTAGAACAAGAACTTAAGAATTGCAAATGAGAAGAGGTGAATCAGTTCATCTAGTTGGCTTGGCTTTTAGTGGCCAGTTCATCCAGTCCAATCCAGCCTTTTATTTATAGAAGCCAGGTAGTGAGCTTCCACAACTTGGGTGGGTAGCTTTTTCTAAACACCCTCGACCATCTTCCTAAAAAAATGTGCTTCGTTCTCAGTTTTAAATGCAGACTTAAACAGTGTTAGTGGGAAGGAGAAGAGGTTGGTTTTCTTAAAACGCATGCTTTTATTCAAACAGAAATAAGAGACACCTTTAATGGAAGTTTAATGAGTTCAAAGAAAAATGGTTTTCTCTGATCATAATACCACTTCCTAATAAGTAGCACTTTTGGTGGCATTAAATAAAATGGCATTTTGTCTTTATCGAATGCTATACTTCTTATCTGATTCAGGATAATTTTTTGTTTTAAAAAATCTTCAGATTCCTGGACAGCTCCTCAACATCAATTAGTTTAAAAAAAAAATCATTGTTTCACAAGTACATAGATTCATTACTTTTTCGAGTTTGCCACTTTGTGATTGATAGCCATTCACCAAGTAGTTACTTTCTGGAACGATAGCGGTATTAAAGAAGAGCCTGCTTTACAACAGAATGACTGTAAGATAATTAGAATTGCAGCATTAGATAGTCAATTTCAAATGCTGCAAGGAGCTGCAGAAATTCTATTAACTACCTGCCCCTTCTGACAGCATGCGGGAACCGACCATTAATCTTGGTGTTTGGTACTGAACACTATATACTTGAAGTATAAAAGCTTTTTTATGATTATCTGTTGGACCGATTCCTCATGGGATTTTGAGTGGCTTATTTGTTGAAAGCCTCCTTTCCGGAGGCTGGTAGTTCCGATCGAGGGTGTCCTCTGTATCCAGGGGTGTCCAGCAGGGCTCCCAGACTGCTCAAACACCGCTCAGTTTGTAGAGAATACCACACACTTGGCCACTGTTGCTATCTAACCCCATCTTGCTTTACTGGCGTTTTGCCAATGGTACCAACAAACTTAAGCAACTCACTTCCTTGTACTTGTGGCTTCTCCTTTTCCCTCTTCAGATAGGGAAAGGAAGCATTGCCTTGCATCCCCACATGTGCCCCACAATCTATTCAAGACCTGTAGCACAGCCACCTGTTTCTTTAATGTAAGGTGCTTTCTTACAGGGGTATTAATAATCGTGTAAGATATCAAACAAATTATATGTATTCTTTAAAAATCATATTTTTGATAGCTAATAAAATATTTTAAAAGACTAGAATACTAGATACTGTTGTAAAAATACACAGGTAATGCGGCACTGTTGCTTTTTTTTCTTAGAAGAAAGAAAAAGGATAATGTACAAAGGTGACCAAGTTCATAATGCAGATAAGAAATTTGTTTCAAGTGGATGTGATGGGTCCATTGTCAGTGGGGAGAAAAAAACAGATGCTGTAAAGAGAAATGACTGAGAAGTAGTTATCTGGATGCCCAATTCATCATGTGTTAATGCAGCATGCTTTTTTCGCAGTTCCACAGCTGTAGTGTTACAAACACTTTTGTTACTTGTCTTTTTCCAGTTGGCTCATTTGTAATGGTTATTTAAATGGGTGCTCTGAAGTTGATGTAAGGAAATGATGCCTTCAAAATATGAAAGTAAACATCTTCATTACCTCTTGTTTGTGAAAATAAAGCCATCGGATCTTTTAGTCAGATATTCTGGAGAGCTCATAAAATGTGCTCTAGTTGCATACCATGCCATCCCTATAACCTGTCTGGAGGAGTTCTTCCTCCTAGCCTTTTAATCTTCAGACAGCGTGCTATTGTAAATACAAGTTAGCCTTTATATAATGTAAACATCCGAAAAGCCACATGGAGACCCTCCCCCCTCCCAGGAGAAAAGCATAGGCAGGTGTCTCAGCTTGGAATTGAACCTGGGATCATGGAGCTATGAAGCAGCAGTACTGCCATGCTACCGCACTGCCCAAATCATGCACATCCCCATCTCTTTCAGGTGGCGGGCATTTTGTTCCTTATAATGCAGGTTTTATGAGGTGACTAGAGACATACTAATCCCTTTAACGTTGGCAAACAAAACTCAGTAGTGTCAATATTGTGCTTGTAGATAATGAAAACATTCAGTGATTTCCAAAATAAAGTACTGTATTTTGCTGGCTGATTTGTAATAGTAAATTTCTGTTGCACATTAAGTAGTTTTTTTTTACTGCATTATTTCACCTGCATTAAATTCTATAATATTTAATGCAGTAAATATAACTATTACTGTATTAAAAACTCTCTAGGAAACCACTTTTGTGGTTGGAATGCTGTTTCTTCTGGTCTCATCTTTAACACAGGGTTTCAAATGATGCTTTAATATGAACTATCTCACTATGTTTTGGTTACAAAGAAAATCGAGTATTACTAAAGCACACCATTATAACAAAGCAGTCCTGTATGGAGAATTGCTTGGAACAACATTGTGAAAGCCAATTGACTGGGAGGCTTCAGACAGTATCTCGATGAGGTGCAATAAGCTGCTAACAAGCAAACCAACAAGATGGCCTAAGTGCCCCTCTTGTTTGTAAAATGTCTTGTGATTTCTAATTGTGAAAATATTTTGTAAATCTATCCATGGGATCATAATCAGGAGTTGTGAGATATTACTAAGCATAGAAATATTTTTTTTTCCCACTCAAAGCAACAAAAAAATTTAAAAAGTATCAAAAAGTGTCATTATCAGAAAATAACCACCTTTAGTAGCAGGTACACTGACATTTTATTCAACAAACTTGACATAGGGTAATTCATTATGCTGATTTAACACAATTCACTTACAGGGTTGATTAACAGGCACTATACCTGCATAGACTCTGGTGGAAGTAATGCAAGCCGTACATATGCAGGATGCTTGGCACCAGGTTGCAGAGACTGTCTTGTGAGTTTCTGTCTAATTGCTTTTGTATAGCTTGTAAAAACATGTGCCCATTTACTGATCTCTGAAGAATTCATCCCAGCTCATCTGACAGATTTCCAACGCATATCAAGTGTTGCATTGCCCTCTTACAAGAAAGCCACTTTTGCATGTCCAGCGTGAGAACATGTGGGGTGCTACTGGAATGTTGTCATGTAATGACAGGAAGGGCAGTGAGGTCATGGGACTTGATCAGTGTAGTCAGGTTGCCATTATTCAGTATAAGCAGGGTTCTGCAGCAATTTGACACTCCCATCCAGACCATCACACATGAACTCTAAATCTTGGTGAGGTATCATGACTCTTGTCTCACTGATTATGTCATAAGATTGGCCCCCATTTCACAGTAACATGTTGCCATATTACATATTAGATATTACGGGCTGTTTCTACCTGACAGTACAGATATATAGAGTGTTCAACCTCTAATATACTGAATACACAAAACCATTGTTGTTTTAATAAGAAGTGCAGATTGGTTCTTTTCCATTTCGCTTATGTCTGTTGTACTTTTGGTAGCAACACTTTTCATGACTGTCACAATGATTTTCTTCACTCAAAAAATGTGATCCAATAATCCTGACCCTGCCCTTTAGAGTGACAGTGTTCATAAATTGTCATTCCTTTGCAGTGGAATGTGCACTTTCTTCAGTATGAAACGGTTGGTTGATTCCGTATGGCTTCATTTTTACTGAAGTCTTCAAATTAGATGCTGGAAAGTGAAATATGAAGCCAAAACTCTGATTGTCACAGTTGGATAAGGATAGTGTGTATTCTCTTGGCATCGCCCAATATAAAACCCATTTATGTATGTTATGAACGCCCTGGCCTATCACATTATCTGTCAGCCACTAGGCAGAGTGGCAGTAAGCCACATTACTGTAGTATCATAGTAACAGTGGGACTCAATTCATGTAACCTCTTTTTGAAATGCCTTAGGCCCAGAAGAATGAATCTTTGACCTGCAGCTTTACATCCTTCTCTGTAAAGATTGAATGGTATTCTGGAAAGTGAAAATAATACCTGCAAATGTGCTTATACCTCTTTCCTTACAGCTTTATATTATTTCTGAAAAAAGCAAATGTTATTTATGTGCGATCCCTTGCAGTCAATGATGACAGTCGTCCATGAACCCGAAAACTGACTGATTAGATCAATATGCACTTCCCCGGCAGGTTGAGCAGTTGTTGTTTAGGGGTATAACTGGTTGTATATTGTGCAGTTTGGGCATAGCGAGCTCTCTTTTCCACTCACTATGTTGCTTCCACATCTCGAGATCTTTGGGTCTCAAAGTGCTCGGTTCCTTTTTAGATATTTTTCCTTCACCTGGTTCACTTCCAGGAGAAGATGATGATGATGATGATTATTATAACATTTCTTTCTTTGCTTTTACCATATCTTTGAGGTGTTTCCGATTGCCTGCTTGGGTACAATTGCCTTGGCAAGCATAGTACAGGAAAGTCTCCTCTGGAAGATCTGACATCTAGAGGACATGCTTGCAACAGGGTGTTAGGAATGTGTGCACTGGATTTGATAGAGAAAGTGATCAGCCTTTGAAGAGCAGAGCCCAGGGCAATCCTGTTCTCTACTAAAGAGCAGTTCTGGAAGTACTATTTTTTATACTCTTTTGTTGATAAGTGGAAGCAAGCTACAGAAGGAGAGAGAGCAATTTAGTCTCCATAAAAGGAGTTGTTTACTATTAAATTTCACTGAAGATGCATCTAGCAAGTGTCTCAGACGGTTTACTGTGACACATTTACATTCTATTCTTGATTCTGCCTTGCTTTTAAAAATAAAGTACCAGACATACGAGAAAATATAAAAACTTATATACAAAAAATCAATATGAAATGAATCAATTTCGAGTCAGTATGACATTTTCCTTCAAGGTGATCATCGCTCCAATGAATAGAGAATGGAATGAAAGACATCTTTTATTGTGAAGAACTCATTCCACACTGGTCTTCTGGTGGATCTTGACAGACCTCAACCTTGATCCAATGACCAGGAGATCATGCATTCTCCTGTAGTGTTTCTCTACAAAAAGAGGCGTTGAGATATTCCAGGTGTCACATGCATGTTCTGCTGTTGTGGATTTGGTGGCAAGACGCCCATTTGCCGAGTATGAATAACTCCTTGCATGCCTTCACAGTAACGGAAGTGGCTCAGAGATTGAAGGAGTCATTCCAGACATCACTCTTGTTGATGTTGAGCTATCGTTACTCATTGCCCAGGTTCAACGACAAAGAAGAGGGGGGGGGGGACTTTGGAGTCTAATGCAGTTATATACTTACATTACATCTTTGGGTCATAATCTATGCTGGAGGCCTTCTTTTCCATTCAAAGCATTACCCAGCTTTCTTGCTCTGCGTGTGGAGACGACATAAAATTTGAAACTTTGGAAATAGATATTCAAGCCATTTCTTCTTGATTAAATAGAACTCATAGATACTTTGCTAAGATGGGGGGTTTTAAGAGATGTTTGGGAAGGCTTTGAACCAATTTCAGTCCAGAAAAGTGTTTTCAGTTTTTATTTTTTCTATAACATACTGTCACAAATAGAAGTTTATAAAAATGGAGAATACTTGAAATGTCCAAATGGATTAATCAATAAGTACATTAAATCATAACCCCCCCCCAATTGTAAGGATTGTGCCAAGAGTACAGCTGAGTGGTTGATATAATTAGAGGCACAAGGTTTCCCAGAGGCATATGTCTTGACCAACTTGAAAACCCAAGACTGCTACCCAGAATTCAAATCCTATAAAATACCTACACAGGTCCACAAGAGAGATAATTCTGCCTTCGAAACTTAGCTGAATATTCCTTAGTTTGAGCTAAATCTCTCTATACTGTACATAAATCAGGATGCTAAGAAATGAATGGGAGACCATTCTCCCTATTCTAAAAATGCATGAACAAACCAAGAGAGGCCTTTTTTAATCTCGGGATTCTCTATAAAGGAAATCGGAGTTTCCTAATAGCAGAATGGCAAGCTCTTTTAATAAGGTTCGACTAGTTAACCATAACCTGGTCTTTATGGACAAAGTCCTTTCTCCTGGCACATGCTTTCTACTCTCATCTCTTTCGCTCTCTCTTGCCATGTCCTCCTTCTCTCTCTGTGTCCCTCTCTCACACCTACTTGCATGTTTTACCCTCTTTTACTCTATCTGTTAATGGCCCTTATTCATTTATTCAGAACTTAACCCAAGTAAAAAATTATTTTGACCGGTCCGTCTTAGACCCAAGTAAATACTTCACTTCCTTTCTTGCTTCAAAGCTCCTGAGAATTTCAAATGTTGACACTAGTCAGGGGTTAAGAATGTAAATAGAGCGGTTAAAACATCAATAACCACTTTCAGTAAGAGAGGTTTCTGAAATCTGAATGGTCAGAATCTACTTCTGTGCTCCTGCAATAACAGGTTTGGCTGTCATTGTGCTGCAAATCCTCTTCACACCTCAGTACACCTCCATATATTAGGATCAAAATCAATACACTGCAGAAAGATGAATATATTGTACAAGCTTGTTGTTGACATAATGAAACAAAATGCCAACTAACTGCTGCTTTTCTTTCTTGTTAATTTAAATAGTTGCCCAGAGCATGGGTGCATAGGGAATGTATTTTATTTTTCGTGCCGTTTATATTCTAAAATTGCTGCTGTGCATTTTGTTTTCACAGGGGAAACCTCTGCTCTCTGTTCCTTATTTAAATACTGGATTACTGACATCCTCCCTGTGAGGAAACAGGAACTGAAGTAAGCGGAGCAGTGTTGCTGCCACTTCATAAATCTTCTACAGTAGTTCCCTGATAATGAAATGTGTTGTAGGGGAACAAAGATGCTATTAAGATGCTGTTTGAGAATGATGTGATGTCTTTGTCAGAATGGTTGTGTTCTTTCTGAAATCCATGCCCTTTGCAACACAAATGGTACCTGACAAGACTGAAATACATCTCTTTTTATGGCTCTGATTTTAATCATCTTCTAAAGAGTGAGCATACATTAAGAATCTTACTGTTTACTAGGGATGGTAGTCAATTAGCATATTATCAATTAAGTTTGAGATTGATGTTATTGTTTGAAAAAAGTTGGAGGTAATAATAATTGTCATCTGTTATTCAAATTTGTTGAGCTGTAAAGCAAAATTGACAGTATAGCATTTAAGTAGTGCTTGTGAGTAACTGAAGTACTGAAGAACAAAAAGTGAACTGTGTGTCATATTCTACATTTACCGTTCATATAGTAAATTTCCTGCAGCAAGTTAAGGTGAATTTCACGAGTTAAAAACACAGTGGTGTTGGAAAAATCAGATTTTCACATTTGTTTTGTAATAAAATGTTCATTCTTAGTTGTCAGGCAAACTTTGGGAAATAGGTTTTCTAAGTCTAATTGCATTATTTCATTGCCTAAATATTTCTAATAATTTCTTGATCATATCTGAAAATCTGATTCCCCCAATCCACACCCCCAACAGTGCCCAGATTCAGGGCCAAGTGGGAATAGGCATTTTTCCAGTTACCATTTTTTTTTGTCTTGATTTAAATGAATGAGCTTTGTGAAAGAGTTACTGATCCTGTTCAGATGTAGTTGGTGATGAATTATTTCGCTGCTTGTCAGTGTCTAGCCTGTTCTCTGAGTGATCATCAGAAGTAATTGTTACATTACTGTGTTGTTGTATTACTGTGTATTGTATATGTTATAGTACCTGTTGAATTTTCTTTGCTAGTCCTGCATTTGTTATCGTAAATTTACAAGTCTTTTGTTTGTATATGAAGACCTCTTTCTTCTAATTAAGTATGGCTTAATTTAACAGTTAAAATAAGTAGTATTAATACATTGGTTAAATTCTTAAAACAACAACAAAAGGAAGTGTAACTGAATAAAATATTTTGAGCCTATAGGTCTGATTGGGTTGTAACCCAGTTTTGTGTCCCTTTGCTTCTCTTGTTTGCTTTTATTCTTTTTTTTTTAAATTAAACCATAATACAATCATTTCACATGATTCTGTCTTTTTAAATCTGTATATTTAAAAGGATTGATATAATTTACATTATTTTGGGTAATCTGATTGCATCTTTCTCTCTGGCTAGATCTGTTAGATATGTGGTTTTATGCCATTTTCCTTACAGACATTTTAGCATTTTAATTCAAGGAGCACTATGCCTTTAAACTCCACATGTATGCACTGATGTGACAGTCCTTTACTCACCTACTTTTAATTAATTTGTAGTATATCTGTTAAAAACAGAAGTGTTTAATATATTCAGTTTAATGCACAGCTTTGAGATCCTAGCACAGATGGACAAATACTAGCCACCGATAGGACATGGTGGAGCACTTTGCTAATAAACCTGGTTTTGATGTGTCTGGCAGTTTAATGCAGTACAGAACTGAAGTACATATAGGTACAAACAGATATGTTACATTAATGGCAGCTGGCCTAGACATTTGCTAGCTTTGAGACTCCGCAGCGGTTAGTTAAGCTGATATTGCTACCGTTGGATAGGCTGCGACAGAAATACCTCTTTGCCAAAGAAGATAAACTCTATAGTTTCCATTTCTTATTCTTAATTATGCAGTTCATTCATTCATTATGGTTTGGAAAAATGTTAGATTTCTCCCATCCCTTCAGTTAAGTAATGTTTGTCCTATAGAGGTGACTGTACTGAAGGCAATTTAACAGGCAGCAAGTACTTTATACAGTTTGCACTTCTACAGGCACTCATCAGGAATGACCACGTTCCCAGCTCTCATTTGCCTCGTCTTTAGAACCACTAACTCAAGCTGTCAGTCTTTTATTTCTAACCCTGTTTGTGTTCATTCACATTGCATTGCACATTGTGGTATGCTGATGATGTACTGAATTGTTATATGTAGACAGTCATTCAATCCGTGCCCCATCTATTTGTGATGATTTGGTATTTTGATTCATTCAGAATCATTTTGACAGAATGTCTTTGAACGTTTGCAATGGAGAAGGCAGGCAGATGAAATGCTTCAGATAATTTGCAATTGCGATTTGCTGCTTTTTACATTCCATCCTTCTTAAATAATTTTAAGAACTTTTTTTAAATGGGTAGAATGGTGACTTGAACGGGCATGAACACAGGTTCCCTTCAGGCTCATATCTCAATTATAATGAATTTGCTTCCTGATTTGCATTTATGAATTTATAAATTCAAATTATGGAAAAGAGAAGCGACTTCATATTACCTGCTATGGTTTTATCTCCACCTTTGCAAACGTTAGATTTTATTTTTGCACTTTGTTTGGCCATCACTGTTTGACTTAATCCAGGCATTCCTGTATTTTAGCGTCTCCTTCAAGAATGTCTAGTCTTTCCACATAGACTTAAGAGATTTAATTTATTTTTGTGATCCCCACAGATGTTGCAGATTTGCATTTTGGCCACATATTAGGTTTTCTAAGACACTACTTGGGTGGAAAGACTTCATGAGGTCGAGGAAAAATTTCTCCATCTTCTATTTTCCGTTTTCATAACCTCCTCACGGGTAATTGCCCATTCTCTGCTTCACCTCTGAATGCTAAAGAGATTCACATTCTAGCAGAGTGTGCTCGCCTTATCAAGGAGCGCTTTTGCTCTTTTTTCACTTTTGGCTCCATTCTACAGTGTGAGACATCTCCTGTGGATCAAGGTTATCTTTGCCCCCAGTGCATTATATGCTCTGTAATACCCCTTAGCATCTGTTTGGACCTAATTCCTAGCGGTATGTTGCACGTGACATTATGTGGGCCAAGAGTATAATTTTGGCTTCAAGTAATCCTAATCAGTTAATCCACTGAATATTTCTTCATAAAGCATATGTATTGCCTCAGGTGCCATCATATGCTAACAGCTGTCTGTATTCATGTTGTATGAACTCTGTTGATTTGTGTATACATCTCTATTGTTTTTGCCTTATCTTTCATCTCTTTTTATTGTGACATGCTTTGAAACGTTGTAAAATGTCCTACATAAAAGTATTTCTTTTCATGTGTTTACTCTGTTCTTTTTTTGAGAACGTCCAGGTTGGACTTTGGAAGGTGGTCTCATGTGCTGTATGATCTTATCTAAACAAGGACATTTCTTGATCTCCCCTAGTATTCCTGTTAAATAACACTGATCTTGGCTTCCTGTGGCTGCAGAATTGGGTCTTGCCACAACTAAATGGTATTCCATTGGAAGCTTTTGCCTTGCCTGCCCTGGCATCAGTGAATCATGACCTGTCTTGAGATCTTTTAAATGGTTCTCTCTCCTGTCTGGGTTCATGGTTGCAGGAATCTGCAGGGAGATGAAAGCTGCTGATGTGTTCAAATCCTAATTTGTATCAAAACATGTTTCAACATTACAGACCCTGTCCAGGAGAGAGTAAGAAAATAGAGAATGATATCTCTTTCCCCAACGTTCATGGTCTCCTGTGGTTTAGATGGTGCTTCTAGCTGTTTGACTTTTACTTCTTTGGAACTGGTAGGACTCTTTGAGGGAGGGGTCTTATGGTTCTGATTTTCAAAATGTTTTGTAGATTTAATAAAAATTGTTTTTCAAAAATGCATTGTCTAGCCATCAGTTTCTTTAAAAAAAAAACACATCTCATGATACAGGATGTTACGTATATTGGATGTAGGAATCACACTAGGAATCATACTCTGATTCCTATAATCAATATAATAGTTCACAGTTACCTCAACCAGAGACCAATGTTGGCAATGCACTGCAAGTCAACAGTTGCTTCAACCTGCCTAACATGAAAAGCACTCTTCCAGAAGGTCCAGGCCCAGTTTAGACCAGCACCTGCTGCAGTCAAAGAAGAAGAAAGGGCTTTTATCAGGTGGGCCAATCATAAAATCTGTTTCTTTTCTACTTGAAAAATTATATTCAGAATAAAGCTTGTGTTTTGTGGTTGGTATCCTTTCTTGGAAATGAATGGAATTGTCAAGTTCCAGTTATTAGCTTGTGGACATCTTGCCAGGGATCTGACCATAAGGATGAAGAATAATTATCTTTTTTTAATGCATGTCCTGATTAAAATATCAGGAAACTTCCATGGAACATTTTGATTTTCTACCAGTTTACTTTCCTTTTGAGTGTTCTTAAACTTTTTGCCCAAAAAAATCTTAAAACATAACTGGCGTTTATATTGACTTCTAAATTTGAAACTCCATATCTTGATCAAGTATCTGAAGTACAAATCATTCCACATTTATGATATTAAAAGAAGTTGGAGCCAAACAAAAGAAACCTTGAACGTTTGTGCTGGTGATTTCTGTATGTATAGTGATTTCAGTTTCCAAAAGCGACATTGATGTGCATAACAAAAAAGGAAAATGAGTTCTTTGCTGAACACTGCAAAAGAAACCTGCTAAGTGCTCATCTGAAAAGAGTGAAAGCTTGTTGGAGTTTACTGACTACAGTTTTCCAGATTATAATTTCCATTTAAACTTAATGTTAATATTGGTATGGAGCAGTGCTGCAGTCCTGTCCTAGAGAACTCCTGATATACTGTACTGGCATCACATTGTGCGCAACATATATAGTGATGTACACGTGAAACAATGGACAGCTATCCTGTATTACATCAACAGTACGTCACTCTCTTCAAGAAATATATTTTAAATTTTAACAAAGTAGATGATTTTTCTGGCCATGTGTAAGACCCTGTTCTCCACATTGCAAATCACTGAATTATAAATTAATACCTTTAATCAGAGTGTACCCTATAAGTAAATGTTTAGGACTGCAATATTGAATACAATTGTATTTTCAAAGCCTTGACTCTAAAAGGTTTCCAGTATGTAAAAAAAAAAAAAAACTGACCTTAACCCTGTACGTTTTTGTTTCAACTAGGTCAACTTTAACTCTGTAAAGTAGCAGCCCATTAGCTTTTCATGTAGCCAATACCTGCCATTCCTGGCATGTCAGTCCTGTAAAGTGACTAATAAGCCTTAACCTTTAGCTAATGAAAGACTCTGCTATTTTGGGGCAAGATGGTGCAGCATTCATTACAGTGCAGAACAGCTGCTGTGTTTCAGGCAAGGACAAGTGCCTCCTTTCTTTGCTATTTAGCCTGTGTGCCTTGACCCACGCTATGTAAAGGAGACTGCTGTTTCAGCATACATTAATGTGTGTTCGATTTCTCCTTAATTGCTACTCTAGACAAATGAATAAGGCAGAAGGTGCCAGTTTCGTGATTGGTTTTTTTACGTGATTATCAGTAGAATGAGGAACGGAACACGAGGAGAATGGGCCGATGGAATCTTAATAGAAAAGGCGTGAATGAGAATTAAAGGCATGGACAGGAATTAACTGACATTTTCTGTTTGGTTACAATTTCATGACTTGAAATTAAAGTGAGGGAATTGTCATATTTAAAACAACAGGGACAAGCGGAGGTTAATTACACATTGAAAAATACGATAAAATACTCCTGAAGAAGCCTCTACTTTGAAATGCGAATGTCTTTTACATTCTACCGTAGAGATTCACTGCAGCTGACACAACGTTCCTCACTCTAACCACGTCAGAAGGTCAAAATATTAAAAGAACAGTATACAGAATATTAAAAACAATAAAAATCCTCAAATGTGTAAATGTACATACATTTAATGTAAGTGCTCAATTTTAATTATTATGACAGGTACTGTAACTTAAAGCACGGCCGGTAACACTGAGGATATAGGCCTGATATTTGTTACTGATACTGATACTGTACCCAGCATGTGTGGAAACTGACTGGCCTGCAAATCAACAAGCAAAAACCACACTTCACGAGCAACAATACACCAGCGGCATCTCCAGTTATCACTGATGGAGAAGTGTTGTATCAGGACTGCACCTAGCTTGGTAGCCTGATTGGCAGTGACAGCAGTGTTAATGAAGACATCGTGGTCCAACTGACTAAAGCAAGAGGTGCATTTAGCAGTATTGAAACCATCTGTTCCAACAAAAACAATACAATCATAAGACTGAAATCAGACTATACAATGGTCATGAACA